TGCTGGAATATCCCTGCAAAACAGAAAACAAGCAACAACTGCAGCTCAAGATAAATGCACCCTATCTCGAGTATATATGTCATTCCGTCCATATAAGTGTTCCCAGCTATCTATGAATGATATTGCATTTGATTTACAATATTTGTTCAGTCGGCTGTTGACACCAAGTGCCCTTGACAACCATTCATTTCCAACTCCCTTTTTTGGAGGAATGCCACATAGGGTCGGGATTCCTCCTTTGCTCCTAACTAATTCTATGACTGTTTTGAATCTCACTGTTGAACGAACAATTTCCAGGTGCGAGTTAGCCTAGGAATGAATGATAGAGCGACAAACGATTACGATTATACAGCACTTGGAATGGATCAGGATAAGGATTTGGGACTGGACAAGGGGATGAAATGGTGCCCAACTATTTGAACGGTCGGGGAGTGAACGCCAACCCCCCTTCTCTCTCTCTCTCCCTACACACACATATAGACACCCAGTTGGTGGGTGCAGCCATACAAACTGTAACAACACAATCCCACTGACACTTGCTACCACACTTGCTAATAAAAAAGAACATTATCCTCGGACCCACACGCTCAGCGAGGAACTAGCATGAAAGGTACAGCCCTCCAAGCTTTATTGACTTAATCAATAAAGCTTGGAGGGCCGTATTTTACATGCTAGTTTTGCAGCACCCAGGCACTCTGCAGCAGATCAGTCTGCAATGGGGCCATCCCAGATGGATTGCTTGTAGGCTTTAGATATCGGTGGTTGAAGTGCTGGACCTGCACGAGAGGCCCACTCGGTAGCATAGTGTACAAAGTTCAATCGTGTATTCCTGCCAGTTGACCTAAGTAGCCAGGTAGAAATTCCCTTACTAGGTTGTCAGATGTTGAGGAGGAGAACAGGAAAGCAGGTACAGCGATATGCGTTCTTGTCCGAACTCCGAGGTCCCCTAGTCTTCCGGGAAGAGAGGCTTGTTTCCACTGAAGGTCATCGAGAGAAAGGTTAAGGGCGACGGTCCTCGCTTGTCAGTTTGTTGTAAAAGAAGCAGGCTGAAGTGAAGCTAAATGGAAATTTGCAGTAAACACACTCTCATTTCCTGTGTGTTGGAGAGTCATTAGGTCTGTTGGATTATGTTTGTTCTTCGCTAGATTTCTAGATAGTAATAATTTCATATAATTATTATTTTTCAAGATTTTTTAAAATCCTTATTTACGTATACAGTATTTATATTTGTTAAAATTATTATTATTATTATTTATATTCACCCAGATATCGCGCCCACCTTATTGTTCTAGGTGATTTTCTCATTATTTATATTATTATCATTATTAGCGTTAACTTTATAATTATTATTAATATAAATGTAGCTAGTAAATGAATATTATCGTACATCATCTGAAAGAAAAAAAAACTTTCTGGAGATCGTTTTGTCTATGAAGTAATTGGCGACACAATGGGCTCTTTCCAAATCCAATAGCTGCCAAACAATGAAATTTCCGTCGTGTCACAGCCGTCACTTTCCCTTCCTTGATACATGAACGACCAGCTCCACATTTCCTCATTGACCTCCATGGGGATAATTAAGGTAGCAATTGATACAGAAGTTTGTCAAGTTTTAAAACTTTCTCAGGTCATAATGTTTCTGCCAAGAACTTGGCGTGACAGCCTCGAGGGATAATCTTGATGGATTTACCTCCTGGTGCGCACATCACGGGTTGCTGGGGATGAGCGTTGGTGAGGTTTGGGTGTGTTGGGTGGGATCCATTTCTTACAAGCTTTCTAAAGAGTTTATCAAAATCCTGTCCCCATTTGTTAGGAACTATTTCCTCTTCTCATTTGACCAATTTTATTGAACTGGTTAACAAATTATATATTGTTCCAATCAATCCTCATGATAAGTTAATCAGTTTTGTTGTTTGTTCTTTGTTTACAAAGGTGCCGGTTGATGATATTTTTGATTACCTTGCTCATGAATTAATGAATCATGTATTACTTTTGTCTGCTGATATTACTGTCAATCTCGTTAAACTGTGTGTGAAAGAATGTAAATTTTCCTTTAATAATGAGTATTATTTACAGACTTTTGAAATGGCAATGGGGAATACTTTATCGCCATGCTTTCAAACTTGTACATGGAATACACACAGAAGTCACAGTAGCGTGATATATCACATGAACAAATCCACAAGGGCAGTGATGAGGGTTCGAACTTACGTCCAAGATGATCCCAGACGCGCCTTAATCGACTGAGGGAATTGGGTTTTGTAAAATTGCATGGGGGGAATTGGGTAAAACCCCGATTTGTGTCTCGGAGAGACTGCGTAATCCGAGCGTCTCGGTGAGACTGCGTGATCCGAGCGAGAGCAGTAGTAATGTACCTAGCAGCCAGAGCGTCGTACTCGGCCTACTATGCAAGGCCCTATATGCCTAGTAAGCCAAGTTTTCTTAAATTTATATATTTTTCGATTTTTTTTTCTTATGAAAGTATGGAGCTATCCATTTCATTATGTATAAGTTAATTTGTTTAAATTTGAGTTAAAACTAACGTAGATATATGACCGAACCTAACCAACCTTACCTAACCTAACGTAACCTCTCTAAACCAAACCTAAACTAACACAACTAAGGCAATAACTTATGTTCCCATTATAATATAATAATAATAATTAAAATAAACTAATTGGAAATAATTTATTGAAAATAATGAAAATCACTCGGTCTATTAGGCAAATCGGGCCTTGCATAGTAGGCCGATAAGTGCGTTCTGGCTACTAGGTATATAAATAAATATATATATATATATATATATATATATATATATATATATATATATATATATATATATATATATATATATATATATATATATATATATATATATATATATATATATATATATATATATATATATATATATATATATATATATATATATATATATATATATATATATATATATATATATATATATATATATATATATATATATATATATATATATATATATATATATATATATATATATATATATATATATATATATATATATATGTGTGTGTGTGTGTGTACTCACCTATATGTGCTTGCAGGATCGAGCATTGACTCTTGGATCCCGCCAGTGTGTGTGTGTACTTGTGTGCACTTGTGTGTGTACGTTGTATGTGTACGATTAGCATTTTCTAATGAAAACGGTTTACATTAGAAAGTTATGATTCAAGAAATATCAGAAATAATTAGTTATTCATCAACATTCCAATTAAGATGAAAGATCTATAATACATTGAAATTTTGCAGCTGCTTTATTAACAGTTAAATTACTACGTTAGTATGTGTGTAGTTCTCGTGGTAGAACAATGTCCTACCTTACTGCCTGCGACGGCACTTGATTATTGATGGCACAGGTGGTTGGTCACTGTTCCCTCATTCCTTCTAGATATTCCACCACCTTTTCGTATCTGAATACCCACTATCTCTTTCAAGTGCTAAATAGTTGTACTCTCTGAGCGCTTTTTCCTGAAACTTACTTTGCCTTAATTTCACAAAAGCCTTTCCAATCACCATTCTTCCACCTACAGAACCGTTAGTGTTATACCGACTGTTCTGTAGAAGAAGGTGGAAGATGTACCGGATGTGCATGTAATATCTTTATATAATGTTCTTGCGTACATACAGCAATGAAACGCATCACTGATTGGGCACGTACAACTCAAACCGTGGATGCGTGGATGTTGGTCAGAATTGCATTTCACCTTTGTAAACGCACTTTAATGACACTATGTAAAAAGACACTTCGAACACTGTTTATGTATGATCGACTGACATAAATCAGTGTATTTATGTTTCAAGGTTAGATTAGCATTTTAAAAGCATTACAATCACCTTCTGTGGTTGATTGCTCAATAAATCACTGAACTATATGTTTAGCAGATCCTTAACCCTGTCCATGGAGGACAGAAGAAAATGTTTATATGCTAATTAGCATCGTAAACGTGTGGCCACGTCTGTTGTAGAAAATAATACTATTAAAAAATATTTATTCTGAACAAAAGTATTGCAATCCTATCCTCCATCACTGACACCTGGCAACCCATCTTAACCTGCAAAATGTTATCTCTCTCTCTCCAATTGTGTTGTGCAACCTCATCATTAACAAACACTATTGTAAACATTATACCAGTCTACTTCAAAATACATTTTATTCCCCAGTCAATCAGGTCGTCTGCATACGTTTCCTTCAGTATGCCTTGCTCATTTATCTTCTCAATGATCTTGTTTATAACTAAAATGTACACAAGGCTTCTCTATGCACAGCTCTGCCTCTGACTCCATATACTACTTCCTGAACCCGCTTTACTGCTGACGAATCTTCATACATTGCTTTTCATATTTAATGCAATATAATTGGAATGATCGATACAGACACCCAACAGTTGTTGGGCACCTTTCTTTCACTCCTTCCTCATATCCAAGTTCCTTGTCCTCATATTCCTGCTCGTTGCTCAAATGCCAAACCCTCCTTTCCTTCACATCTCTTCAAAGTACTACATAATTATAATGACTTCGTACTGTTTCCTGATAACTACCTCCTCCATCTTCACACCCCTTCCCTTTTCCCCGTCTCTCTACCACACTCCACTACGGCCTTCGAAATTGAATATCTCTTGCCTCGGTGTAATACTCCACATCCAAAATTCACAAATTCAAATTCTGCTTTTTTCATCTGTACACCTGTACACTGCTTTTCCTAAACACCGTCCCCCGATAAGACGCTTCTTCCTCTCTCCAGAACATTTAATTCACAGAAGTCTCCTTCCTCACAGTGTGAACAATTTTCTTTAGGGATTTCTGGCAAAGAATGATTCCATCTTAAATTTCAATACTCTGTTATTTTTCCATATTAGGTCAGCATCACTGCTTTAATAGCCAATCTCTATACAGGATAACGAATTGTGCACATTTTAACTGTTCCTAAAAACACTAACCCCCTTTTTATTCCCCAACAGAGGCTAAGCTGAATACAACATGTCAGTTCAGCAGCCAATGCGAGGAGTCGGACGAGTACAGCCTATGTGGCCCTGCCTCCATCTGCGTGTGTCAGGAGGGCTATCGCATGGAAGAGTATCCCAACATTGGTTACAACTGTGTCTCAAGTACGTCCTTTTATGTGTGTGTGTATATGTGTGTGTGTGTGTGTGTGTGTGTGTGTGTGTGTGTGTGTGTGTGTGTGTGTGTGTGTGTGTGTGTGTGTGTGTGTGTGTGTGTGTGTGTGTGTTAACTAAGTTGTACTCACTTAACTGAGCTTCAGCTCTTAGGTCCTGCCTCTCAACTGTATATCTACTTGTGTACAGATTCCTTAGATTATTGAGCTTTATCATATCTACAATTGAAACTGTGATGACTAGACCACACACCAGAAGATGGGCAATTGTCCAGGACGGACCGAAAGGGGGTTTTGGTCCCCCTCTACCACTTATGGGTATGAATTGCCCACAACTCTTTGTCCATCCTGTCAATTCATCTGAACATTTTGAAAGTTGTGATCATGTTTGACCTTACTTTTCTGACTTCCAGGGACGTGAGGTTTAGCTCCCGTAGCCTTTCCTTGTAGCTCATATCTCTCAGTTTAAAGTCTCATACCAGACAATGCCACTAGTCTGGTGGCATACCTCTGAATCTTATCTAGCTTTGTCTTGTTTTAACTAAGTATGTTCTCCAGACTGGAGCGGCATATTCCAGGATTGGTCTGACGTAAGTGACATACAAGGTTCTGAACGATTCCTTACACAAGTTTCTACAGGCAGTTTTTATGTTGGCCAATATAGCATATGCTGTTGATGATATACTTTTGATTTGGGCTTCTGCGGACAGATTCGGCGTTATATCAACCAACAGATCTTTCGCTCTATTTGACTCCTGCAGCATTTCACCTCCCAGATGGTACCTTGTGTTTAGCCTCCTGGTCCTTTCACCTAATTTCATTACTTTACACTTTCCTGAGTTAAACTTAAGAAGACATTTTCTAGACCATTCTTCCAGTTTGTCCAGGTCGTCCAGTAGTCTCGGTCTATCTTCATCTATCTTGATTCTTCTCCTAATTTTTGCATCATCACTAAACATTGACAGGAATGAGACTATACCTTCTGGAAGATTGTTTGCTTATATCAGAAACCGGATGGATCCATGTAAAGAGCCCTGTGGGACTCCACTGGTGACATCTCGCCATCTGTGTGTGAGTTTGGATGGATGTGTATCTTTTTGAATGGATGGGTGTGTTTTTGGATGGATGTGTGTTTGTGTATTTACCTTGATGTGCTTGTAGAGTCGAGCAAGGCTCCAAGCCCTGCCTTCCCAACGTTCTTTGATTAATGCAGTGATTCATTTCTCACGTTTTTATCATATTTACATATACAACTTTGAATCAAATTAGCTTCAACGACTTCTATGTGTAACCTATTGTACTTATTGACAGCTATAACACTGAAACGTTTTTTTTTCTGGCGTCTTTGTGACTCATTTGCGTCTCGAGTTTTCTTCTAGGACCCCCCTCTTCTGGTGTTCTTAGGTTGGAACAATGCTGTTTTGTCTATCTTGTCAACTTCCATTAGAATCCAACATGTTGCTATCATATCCCCATCTCTCCCTTCTTCCAATGTGTAGAGGTCAGGTTCTTTCAGTCTTTCCTCCTAGCTTAATTCCTTTAGCTCAGGACCCAGTCTGGTAGCATATCTTTGGACATTTTCTAGTTTCTCGTTGTCCTTCTTCAGGTAAGGGCTCCATGCTAGGTGTGCATATTCAAGTGTTGGTCTCGCCTTCGCTGTATAAAGGGCTCGGAAAGCCGCTTTGTTCAAAGTGTTTGTTGTCGTGTGTCATCAACCTCGGGGTTATGTCCACCTCCAGGTCATTCTCCTTTTCTGATTGAAAAATCTGTCTTCCTTTCATCTTATACATCTATACTGGTCTTCGTTCTCCTGTTCCAGTCCTCAACTCTTTGCTTTTGTCTGGGATAAATTACTGCAGCCATTTTTCACACCACTTCTAGATCATGTCCAAATAAGTTTGCAATGCCTCACAATCTGTCCTGAATCTTCCCATTAGTTTTGCATCATCAGCAAACATTGATATGAAGAAGTCAATTTCTTCTATCAGGTAGTTGACATATATTAGAAACAGCATGGACCCTACAATCGTGTGGGGTTTGTGGGGAATGAATAGATTTGTTTTATTTACCTCCAAATTTATCTCCTTCAAGTCACTACTTGATACTAACCAGCTGTTGCGAAATGTTATAGATTCACTGATGACGACCTAATGTTGTTGACGTTCTCCCAGAGTCAGGGAGCTCGGGACCTGGGGCCTTGGACCCGGCGATGATTGGCGTACTGGCTGGCTTGGCGCTCATGTTCATTATCATCTGCGTAGTCCTGCGACTCTTCTCCAAGTGAGTTTGCCCTCATATGCCTCAGCCACAGTCAATGGGATAACTTCGGTTTCAGGTTACAAATTGGGTGCTAGGAAGCAGCCAGACTTTGTTAAAAAAGTTTACATATTTTATTTTTATATTTTACGAACAATTGCACTACTTTCTAAAATGATGAGATATGACCGAAGATAACACTTTATGCGAGATGTCACCTATACATAATTTTTGTGAAAAACATCAATTATATTATTTTTCACAAACATATATGTAGCCAGAATTTACAAGGTCCCTTAGGCAAGACTCGTTTTTCCTAATAGTCAAAGCTCATTTGTTTTTCTCATATATGTGCAAAATCTAGTCCGCACTTAATGAAAATAAAACACTATATTTATTACATTACCTATCTTTTGGCCTTGATTAAATTTACGTTCGTTAGGATGACTGGCCTAATGTACGATGTGTATATATTATTATGAAGAATTCCTTGCTAGAGCTCATCAGAATTATTCTGAAGTATGCTTGTTTTGCATACATTATTTATGTTATCCTGCTAATACGTTCCTCTTGCAAGGAGGAACTCAAACCTGCCACATCTCCTCTGTGTGTAAGTGTCGGAATTATTGATTTTAGTACACGTCACTTGCGCTAGTTACTTTGGTCGCTGAAGGCTCAAATTGACTTTTATTTTCTTAAGAATAATTTAGTTTTTAACCATTCATTTGCAAAATGATCAAGTTATTGACCAACTAATTTTGGTTACCAACCTGTTGGTAGGTGTATTTTGTGGAATAAATAGCAACACATTTTCGGTTTTGTTTTTTAATATCGAGTCGAGTGTAATAAGTTTGCTTTTCACTGAATGTGTGGCTGTGTCTTGGAATTTAGATGACACGTTAGATAGAAAGTAGACTTAAATCAAGATTAATTATGAGTGCACCATAATAGACAAAATTTGGTTGTTGTAAAGTGTTAAAAACCCTTCACCATTTAGATGATATATAACCCTCCTTAGATATGCAATTTTATAACTTGTTTAGTTGCATCATCTTTCACATAACTTGTACAGGACATATTTTCTAGATCTCAACTGCAAATAACGTTTTTGACTATTCCAGCGGAACTCCGACTAAAATAATCCCAGTAACCATATGTATATAGTAATTAATTGCACAATGATACAATTTATTTTCTGCCTGTAGAGATTAGTTTTGAGCTAGCAACATATCTTTGGGTTGGTTGGCGTTGGTCAAAGGCTATAAAACTGGTTTTACTCACTAAATATTATAATTCTTCATGAAGGTCTTGGGATCTCGCTTCCAATATATCATAATCATTCTTCTATCTGGGAGAATGTGTAATATTTGGCTATTTTACTTAAAAATGAGTATATTATGTAATAATAAAATGTATAGAAGTTATTTTCTAATTGCCTTCTTGATTTTTTTAAATAACTTATGTGTAAGTTTGTTTTTATATGTCTAATGAATATTTTTTTTATTTTACTAGAATTTCTTCAGGGAATATGAAGATCGTGAATCCTCTGAGATCTCTTGCAGCACATTCAGATCTCATTCTTCTGCCTATTTCCCGTGTTCTGATTGGCTAATGGAATTTTGTCTCTGATATTTTCTCTGCATTAATTATAGCCCCATCCGTGCAGTGAATTTTTGTTCTTAAGTGATTGAACTTTAAAACGAAAAGCTAAAATTTATTATCTAAAAGACAATCATTTTGATGCAATCAGATGCAATCACATACAGTGGATGGAGATCGAAGTGGATATGTGATCTCTAGTCACAGCAGTTTCCTTGATTACACAATTTTTGTATAAACATTTGTAATGTGATCAGCAATTTCCCTTAAAAATGTAGTGCTTGCTTGGTATTTGCTTACTGTCTTTTTATATAAAGCCAGTTTTTTTTTATTTTCTCTAAATATATTTGATTCGTTCTAAAAGTGACATAATATAGGTCCTTGTAAATGCTGATAATTTCATTAGCAGATAACCGTTTTAGATAAAGATACATTAAAATTTAAAGAATGGTGTATATATTTGGAATCTGTGCCTCCTTGTGCCCATTAAAGGCGACTTTATATATTATATGTCAGAATTCAATGCAGTATTTACAAGGCTTCGCTCCATTTCATAAAGCACGTTTTGAGCGATACGTTCCTCAAAGGCTCAATCGGATGTTGTCTCGACGTATGTTTAGAGGCAGGTTTTGTTTCTCCTTTATTCAATATCATGTTAAATAGATTCCAAATGTAAACTGTGAAGGTATTTGTCGTACCTCGAAACTCATAGTACCACCTCCTGGTTTATTTTTATATATAAACTTTGTTCGTAACTTAATAGATCAGTATTAAGTGCCACTTAAATTTTAGAAAATATGTGTTTCAAATGATAATGGCAACTGTCTAATACATGACAATTGTGTTAAATAATTTTATCCTTTTAAAATTTTGTTGAGCACTGATTTATCTTCCAGGACTTCTCCTGCGTGACAATCTCACTAACTGCATCACATTTTGCTAATATCTTAAAGCTGAAAGACAGCACAATCACCATTTTTTGTACCTGGTGCATCAATGTGGCCACTGTATGTTAATCTCGATACTTTAATCTATAAATGTTCGTTGTGTTCGCTGTCCTTTAATTCTAAACTTATATATTTTCAGTGTTTTAAGTGTGTTGCATAGTGGTGCTGCAATTATATTTGTATTTCATATGACTTTTGCTTCAATTGCACTTTTTCAATTACTATTTGCGGAACAACATGCTTTTTTATTGACCACAGTTGTCATTTTCTGTTTTTCAAAGTTGTGGATTTCCTTTATTCTTCCGATGTATTTACACTGTTCAGTTATATTTATTGTATACATAATGTCCATTGGTATTCAGTGTGTACATACTGTCCAGTGGTATTTAATGTGTACACACTGTCCAGTTGTATTTAGTGTGTACATATTGTCCAGTGGTATTCAGTGTGTACTGTCCAGTGGTATTCATTGTATACATCCTGCCCTGTGGTATTCAGAGTGCACATACTGCCTTGTTGTATTCATTATATACATACTTCCTTGTGGTGTATAGTGTGTACACACTGCCGTGTGGTGTTCAAGTTACTTTTTTTTAACTCTTTTCGCTACATCTTTATGTTTCTTGTGCAGTATCAAATATTTTGTATTAGAAAACTTAATTCTTCCTATCCAATCCTATGTGTGTAATTTGTTATGTTAATTCTTTCATAACCATGTTTTTGCCTGTTTGCTATCGTCTTCGTAACGTGCCATCTTACTTGTTCACTTTTCCTCCACTTCCCTCTTCTTCTCCCTCACGCACTCCACCTCCTTCCAGAGCTCGCTTCCGGGAGAAACGTTCCATCTTCAATTCCCGAAGGATAAAAGTATCCAATGCCAATGCCGAAAGTAAGTTTAGGAAACTATATGAGAGAGAGAAAGAGTTGTCTCGAGTGTTTGTGTAGATCACTAAGGCAGATCAGTCATGCATTTGGGGAAGTAGGTTATAGTGCAATTTTGGTGAAGGAAGTTGACTCTTTAAATACTGTTACGATTCAATGTTTTTTTAAATCCGTTCTTCATAGATAATCCCGCAGCTATATATATTTTTTAATTGAAGCTTGCTGACTTAAAGCTTCTCTCATCTTTCACATTTTTTTTCAGTTCTTAGAAATATAGGTAGAACTCAGGCTTGCACTCAGGCTATCGACACATGGCTTTAAAATTAATTTAATGTGTATTAGATTGCCATATAACTTAGTTTAATAGATGCCCTGACTAGAACAACATTGTTCATTGTCAGTCATGCTTACCGTAGTATTTAGAATTGACCACAATCGTACATAAGTAATATCATATTTCATTGCTTATTTGTGCGAGAGCAAAATCAAATCTTTCTTTCCCTTTCTCCAGGTATATATGTATGTAATTGTTTTGTTTGACATAGAAGATCAGATCCATTATGAATTTACACATTTGATTTAGGAACGTTTCGACACTTACTATTTGCAATGATTAAGCATAACATAAAACAATGACTTTTATTGTTATATATTTTTCTTAACCATAGTAATAGAAGAAATTTAGCTGCATTTCAGCATTTCCAAGTTTCACACTTATCATATACTTTTTATTTTCCACATCTCTGCACAGTACCTAAATGTACACGAACGCTAAACATTTAAAACAATATTAAACCTTTAAGTGTTTAAATTTTTGTTAAACAGCCTTTATACACAAATATAATTTTCTTAAAATATTTTTTCACCTTTATTTTTGTTATATGGACATGAACTCATATGTTCCTCTATTTCCGTCTTGGCGGTCGAGGTCCGAATGATTGTCCCTAACTCTTAAAAGTTTCAATAAATTACGTTTTATATAGTTTTTTAAAGTTTAACTAAGCTTTTATTAGCTGCTTTTTGCTTGTAAATGTTTCATTATATCTCTGAATTGTTTCACAGCTAAAACACTTTGTATTAAAATATTTTTTATTTATATTCCTGGATATCAAGCGTTATTTCTCTATTGCTTATGCCTCTATTAGTTAAGAAAATATTTATAATTCCACTCAAACGTTGCTTTAGGGATCTGGGCCAGTGTTTAATAACCATTTTTGGATCTACTTATAAACTATTCACCTTTTACCAAACTTTGAGGGCTTTGTTTACATATATTAAACAGTTTATGAGTTCCGAAGCATTTGAATGTTGTTTATAAGAATAATAACATTGGATTTCTAAGTTTCATTTCTAATAAAATGTTTATTAAGTGTAAAAAAAAGCGTTGAAAGTTTGAGAAAAGATGTACAGTTCTCTAAATTAATTCGTAAATGCTTGTAGAATCCTGTTCCAGGAGAGTATATGCCACATCACTAGCTACATGACAGTAGCTACAGACAGTAAGCCTCAAAGTAGCGCTGCTTCATAATAGAAACAAGAAACCATCGTTTTCCCTGACTCACTCGGTGCACCTCAAAGAGGATTACAACAGCACAAAGATCTTTGTGAACGCTTTGAAGTATGATGGGTATGGGAGGAGGGCCATCAGGGACTTAAAAATTGTGGCATTTTTCATAAGAACCTTGAATGTATACACAGCGCTCAATTACTATACGAATTTCCAAATGTCAGCACAAATCCGCTATGCTTCAACTACTTCAGGGTCTTTACAACACCTTGAATGTTTGCACTGCCTCTTAACTGTTTACATGACCTCTTGAATGTTGTAACAATCCCATGCGTGATATCACAAATCTGAGTGTTTACACAGCCACTTGCGTGATTTCCAAACTTGCCATGATTGAATCTGTTTCCCATGCTACCACCCAGTTGTCATGCTAATTCCAAGTTTCCATATATATACATAGTTGCAATACTTATCCTCATTTGAAAAGTTTTTAACAAGTTGTGTTTATACAAAATTTGCAGTTTTAAACCCATTTACCAACAACGTCAAAATGTTAAGTTCTTCTAGGCCCTCATCAGACTATACGGCATAATATGGGGTAGAAATCAGTAAAATACAGACCTCATCAGACTATAAGGCATGGTTAGGCAAGAAAAAAGTAAAATACAAACGTTGGTAGACACGAAACTTTTTCGTTTATAAATTCATATCAAGGTAGAAAAAAAGGATATTCTGGAAATATGCTTAGCAGTAGAATAGGAAGCGAAATAGGAAATGATTTATGTGGCAAAGAAAACAAGAAAAATTAACATAGGTGCTAAGTTTGATATCAGAAGGAATTATATAATTGAGACATATCACAATATTGAAATTCAAATGTGTCAATAGGAAGATGAATGGCAGTAATGAACATAAGTAGGAAAAAGGATAGACAAGAAATAGGATTTGTGAAATAGATCAATTAAATGACAATCGACTTGAGAATGGTCCAGGACGGGCCGAAACGTCGTCGTCCCTTCACCTTCTAGTGTGTGGTCTGGTCAACATAGATCAATTAAAAATAGGAGCTACAGACAGTAACGATGTAAAATGGTATTTTAGCATGTCGGATACAGAAAAATTGGTTAATTAAGAATTAAATGATGAAAGATACGGAGAAGAAAAAAATAAGAATAACTGAAAAATTGGACCTGTTTGAAATTGGGCAGACAGGAATTTGCAATAATTTTTTTCCTGTGGATACTCTGTAATTTGCATTAGTGATGTATGGCTTTCGCTCATAAGATTTGCTGAAACCTGAAACCTGTATTTATGAGCATGTTTAGGGCTTTCAACTAAGACCCTGCTGATGAAACTTGGACTCCATATTGGAGAACCATCCTTAGAATTTTCGAATTCTTTAATATCAAATTTTATTCATTATTTGCCTTATAAACACATCTGATATATTTTCTAACATATTATATATTTAAAAAAAATTATTTTTATGACAAGTTCAATAAGATAACTTTTATTCAAACCAGTGATTCATTTTTTAGCATTCAATAATTACATGCACAAACGAAGCAAGACCATTATGTATAAATTATCAGGCAGTGAATATTTCCCCTAAGATATCGAATGCAATCGAATATTCGTTAACATTGCAAACAACCCATCATAAATGATGCTATATAGGAACGTTTAACGTTACTAACCTCAGAAGCACCTATTAACAATTACAGCTTCTAAACAGTCAAATTCTTCCAAACGGTAAAGTTAGTTAAACTATTTGTAAATAATCGCTTTCAAAAGAACAGTTCAATCTTTGATAATCGAGAGATTACAGCTAAATCTACTTTCTTGTAATATAGTGAGAGACAACAAAAAAAGGGAAACTAATTTTCCGGGATTTCTCTCGGTACATTTGATATATTTATTATATGCATTCAGAAATACACGTCTCTCGCTGCAACTATTAAAATAAAAATTCGTTCGAACACGACTTGCAATAAACTCCATCACATAGTAACATGTCCCCCTGCAAATGCGTGTTGTAGCATCAGGAAAAACAATCAACTTCTATATTTCAATAACAGACTCCATACACATCCGAAACAAGAAAACACGCTCGCCTGCTCCCTGGCCATCACCATACATGGCTGAAGCTGCAGTTTGTACATCGATTGTTCTGCACGAGTACAGGGAACAGGAAACAAGTCCGAATAGTTTTGTTGGCTTTAGGAAAATCAATTCTTGCTGAAGCCGGTTTTTGTTTTGAATGTGAATGTTCATATAAGTGTTTATGAGAGTGGGTATATGTATGTATGGGTATGTATATGTATCATATGTAGTAAATAAATATTACAAGAACATTATTATATAAAACATGTAAACATTTACAAAATAGATACTCACAGCTTCCACATTGCTTTCCTCATCACTTGGATTGTTTATCAACTCTTACATTTAATTTTCATTCAGCTGTTTTTAGATATATATATCCATTATCAATACAAATGTACCCTCCTGTATATATATCTCTAAGATGTGGATATATTTTGACGAAGCACGCAATCTTACTGTGAGAGGAGCAGAAGAAATCAGTTAGCACCAACAACAAGCAGTAGAACCCACTAGCTAAGCATTCATAACTAATAGAACCCAATAGCTAAGCACTCGCGACTAATTAAACCCAATTGTTTAGCACTCACCACCTCACAACTAGGTTCAAAATCTTCTTCCTGGAGCCGACCAGCAGTGAGCTCCATCGAAACATATTGTCACTAGAGAATACCTTCTCGCAGCAAGACGTTGTTAGTGTATGAGCACGCATGCACGGACACCGGCACCAACTTCTTATAGCATCATAGTTCTCACACCTGTGGATATTTCATCAAATTGTCTCTCTGTTGTGCATGATCTCGAAACCATGTTTATCCCTCTTATTTACTGCTAAACAGGTTCATTGTGGACGTTTTGTCCATTTACCCCTCTAAGTGTCCTAATTATCGTTATAATTTTATGTACTAGTCCTCTAGTCCTTTTCAGATTTCAACGGAGACACCCCCGACAGAGCAGTTAGCAGAACTCGAGGAACTGTTGGAAGCTAACAGTATCTTACGTCATCCATGAAACTCACTGTTTGAATTCGTGCCGGACCCCTAACGGTCTGTTTTGTCCTTCCTCTCTGAGAGCTGATGGTCGTGCCTCCCTTGCAGGGCCCGCTTCCGCGAGAACCGATCCATCTTCAACACCCCCAACCCCCGCCTGATGAACGCTTCATTGTTCAAAGACAGTAAGTTGCTGAGCCCCGCCCGCGGGGACCGCCGGGGGTCAAGGGCCAGCGTTCGCGTACCGTCAAGGGCCCCCTCCGTCACCTCCGTCAACGCCGCCTCCCGTTCTCCCAATGGCTCTCTGGCCAAAGGTTAGAGTCGTTGGGGAGTGGCCAGTCCCTCACAACACCCCTCCCATCCTCACAATATTTACCGCCGCCTCCCGGAGTTCCCCGTGGGATGTAGATGATGAGTATGGGGTGATGGCTACCAGATCGCACCACCCCCACTGCTGTCACTCCCACAGGTTACTCCTGCAGGAGGCGCGACTCCATATTTAAGCAGTTGCTTCTGCATATCAGAGCAGTGCGTGATCTATACCTCTGCCGTATGAGTTCTTTGCGTTATGCATTCTTACTATCGGCCTTTTTAGACGAAGTCGCCAGATCATGAACTATAACTACTCAAATTCTATCTCTTGAATGCATTACTATTGGCTTGCATGTCTAATACAATCACAGTAACTCGATTTTCTAAACCCATTCATAGAATGTTTTCATTAGAGAATGACCTTAACAAAAATCATAGTCAACTCTCCAAAATTGTTACACACACTTGTATAATCTGTGGTGTCGTCCCCCCCTCCCCCTCCCCTCCCTTGCTCCCGCAACTCTGCCTTCCTCAACACACCACACCCCAACCCCTCCCGAATCACGCTCGCGCGCCGGCGCAGTAGCTGCAGCTGTGTCATACCAGCGCCTGCCCTCCCTGGAGTCCCTCTAGATGATGTCGCCCTCCAACTATAGATGGCGGTAGTAGTGCGGCGGCAGCATAGGGGTTGACACCGCCGCCGACTCCCTACCCAGCCACTAGCTGTCGGACCCCACCCTCAACTTCTCTGTCCTTGATAAACTTCTTCCCCGAGACATTCACCAACACTTGCACAAACAAGTTGCACCGTGTCCTTAGTTATAAACCAACAAGGACTAGCCAACTTCTTTGGGCAGGAATTCGAGGCCCTGAGACTCTTGCTGTCTGGGTGAGTTGCTGGTCTTAATGGCCTTGACAAGGGACCTCAATCACTCTGTATGTCATTGTACATAATATAACATTTAAAAATAATAAATGCCTTTTCCAACTTAAACCAAGCAAATTAAAATATTTCCAGCAGTTAACTGTGGTATTTCAATGTTAAAAAATACACAAATAATTTCTTATCAAATGGCCAAAGTACAGTCATACTCACTAAATTGGGAAATTGTAAAGTTTACAATGACATATGGAGCCTGCCGCGGCACTCGCATTGAGCCGGCTCGTCTCAC